GTATTATTTTAATTTCTTTATTATTATTTAAAATACTGTCAATAATACATTTCGTGAAAAACTAACATTAAAAAGTTTAAATATAGTGTTAAATGCAGGAAAACACTCAAACAAAAACTTATATATATATAGAACTTAAAATTGATAAAAAGTATTTAAAATATTGTTTATAATACTCACATTTTTATGAAAAACTAATTTAATATTTAAAATACTGCTTAAATACAGTGTTAAACAATTTTAAAAACCACGTGTTCTCATATTTGCTTGTACATTTCTATGCAGTTGCTAAGGTGTTCTGAGTGGTTGCTAGGTGTTTTTTAAATGAACAGGATACCGGTCCAGATCCAGTCTCTCCGGGCAGGAAGTGATGTCATCTCTGAAGCCGAAGGCAGACGGGAAACACGGGACGGAACTGTCACGCAGACTTCCTGTGTCACGAGAAGAAGAGCCGTAATGATGAGTGATAATAAAGATCTGCGCAGCTGGCCTCTGTTATCACAGAACTGTGACAGAATCACTGACACTGACATCAGCCCGCATATTATACATTCTTGAGCTGTCAGAAATGCTAGTTAAGCTGAAATTGTGTGATTATTTCTCATTTAGGGTCATGAATATGCCTGCAAAATTTCAACACTCTTGACGTGCTGTGAAATGTGTGTAAAAATATATATATATTGTTATGTCTGAACTCCTGAGGGTATTTATATTCATGCATTTGGTATAAATTTGTATCAGACATTTTTTTGCTGGGAATCAAACCATGATTTTTGCGCCATGCAAAGTCTGTTTGAGCTTTAGAAAAGCACAGACACTAAATAAATAAAATATTAATTTAACATTTTAAATAATTTTTAATACTGTTTTTAATATTCACATTTTCTGAAAAACAAACATTTCAAAAATACAAGCATTGATATTAAAGGTTTACTGTTTTTACCTGATTTTCATTGTGATTTTTGGTGAATTATAAAATAATTTAAAACTAAAATAAATAATAATTAAAAACTAAAATAAAAAATAATCAAAAACTAAAATGAAAATAATTAAAAAATAAAATAAATAATAATTAAAAAATAAAATAAAAATCATTAAAAACTAAAATGAAAATAATTAAAAACTAAAATAAATAATCATTAAAAACTCAAATAAATAATCATTAAAAACTCAAATAAAAATAATTAAAAACTCAAATAAAAATAATTAAAAACTCAAATAAATAATAATTAAATACTCAAATAAAAATAATTAAAAACTCAAATAAAAATAATGAAAAACTCAAATAAATAATAATTAAAAACTCAAATAAATAATAATTAAAAACTCAAATAAAAAATAATTAAAAACTAATATAGTATCTCAGTGATTGTAAAATAACACTGAAACAGAACTCATCTCTGAGTCGTGTTCCTGTGATCCAGCGTCTTACCGCGCATGTGAGCGAGCGCTGCTTTGCTCTGCGGGGACGTGGACCCCGCGCTGTGAGCGGCTCTCTTCACCCGGTACACCTGGGGCCCCATATCCACCAGCATCCCCACGGGAAGAGCCACGGGAAGAGAGAAGACACAGCGACCCGCAGCCGAGAGCTCGCTGTCACAGGACAGACCCGGAGACACCTGCAGACGAGCGTCTGACCAACACACACACACACACACACACACACACACGTCTGGTTTGCTATCCTTGTGGGGACTCTCCATAGGCGTAATGGTTTTTATACTGTACAGACCGTATATTCTATTGCCCTACACCAACCCTACCCCTAAACCTACCCCTCACAGGAA